GAAAAGTGGGGACATGGGGTAATGTCCTGAAAAGTCACCTTCTCCTTGTAATACCTATGTCATACCCTTGTCATTATACAAATTTATGTCCTCATTTGTCACAAAAACGCACACACTCACACACACACACACACACACACAAGCACACACACACACACACACACACACACACACACGTTTTCTCCAGTAGCTGTCGTCTTTAAAGGGATTTCTGTGCTGCATACTTGCTTATTTGGAAACATTTACGTTCTTTATTTAATGCGAAACTAAAACTACTAAACTGGAACTACGGAAGTCTTGCTTTTCCTGTTGACTGGGAAACTTTTAGGCATCTTAAAATGGTTTGCAAGACATATTGGCAGTATTCGTTTCACCTAGTTTCATAATAATACTGTAGATACTTGACGTTGCAAACTCCTCGTTTCTCCCAAAGACATTTCAGATTTTTAGTGTTGTAACGATACTGACACGATCAACCTTTGAAGCAATATGAAACCTCTTACTGTTCTCTTAAAAGGTTTTGTGTGAAACTAGATGGTTTTAATTGAATTATGATCGTCACATTGGTCTTATCGCCATTATTGTTGCTATTTTCATAGTGCGGATTTTATTGTGGCAGTATTAGTCTCCATACGGAATGACAAAGTGAAAATACTGTGTTTAAGACTTACATTTGTCCTCTGTATTTCAGTGAATCTCACAAAATCTGTCATTTCACAGATATATACTGTATATATATTCTGTATATATGATTGTCCATATACACACATATACATTTTTAATATTATAACATTTAATAAAAATTAAATTAATATAATTTTTTTTTTTTTGCATTTTGACATTTCCCCTCTTTTATTGTTATTATTATTATGAAATTCTTTGTGGATATATATATATATAAAAACTGAAACAAGTGATGTTTAAATATTTTTAAATTGTAAAATGTCTTATTTTTAGAGTGAAGTATGACCCTGACAGGTTTTGTGAGATTCATGCTGTGTTTTGTCATTGTTAATAATGAGTATATTGTAAAAGAAATCTCGCCAAACTCTGGAAAGAAGATGAGGTGTTTTTTAGCAGCATCATTCATGTTGCCGATGACCTTTGAAATGTGACTCTCTCTTTATACGAACATTTGTTTTTCATCGATGTCCTGATTTGTGTTCAGATTTACTATATATGACGGTCATGAGGGTGTTACAGTTACTTGTTGAATGTTTACAATTGACTGATTGTAAAACACGTGCTGAAGGCAGATGAGGAAAATCACGCTGTGCTTGTCTTATTTCGACGATTTCGAAAGAATTTCTTAATCGAGTGTATTTATAGATCTCTCGTTGAGCACAGAAGATGGACTGACCTCACACGTGTTTGATGGAGATGTACAGAATCATAAGGAGTTATTGTGTATTATAATGTTCATTGCTCAGAACTCCTCTGAACATTTCCCTGAATCGAAAACTAGATTAAGCAAACTACAAAATACATTTTAAAAGGTAGCTTGGGAATGAAGAATCTAGTTTGCCGCTTTCATCTTCTCATTCGCCAAATAATTGATATACTTCATTTTCCAATGGTTTTCACACACTCCATACGCTTCATAACACGATCTTTAAAACATGAACTCATACAGATGACGAGCAGATGATCATTGTGCTTGAAAATGCCATTCAGCCTCTTATGGACTTTGGTTAGGCCTGGAAGTGTGTTTTTGAAGATTTGAGTGAATATTGTGTTTGATTGGATACCGCTGGGATTTTGGACGCTCTGGATTTGTTTGGTTGCTCACCATTTGTCTGCCATCGTCAATAAAATTTACAGATTAAACTGAAATGAGAAAAGTGGAGTTTCTGTCGTGCCAAACAGCCCTTTTAGGATGATAATAGTAATAATAATAATAATAATGAAAATGAGCATAACAGCTAGTCTTTGGATCCTGATCACTCCATTCTAAAACTTAAAAGGCAGCTATATTAAATTGGAAAATCCAATTTAAACTGAAAAAAATATAATATAAATATGTGTAACATACGATGTAAGCATATTTTAATTTTTTCCTATTTTCTTAAAAAAAATGTTTTTAATATGAATTTCTTCATATTAATACATCTTCATTATTTTTTTATTTTAATATTTTTATTCATGTAGTTTTATTTATTTGTTTAATCTTATTTTATTTATTTATTTTTATGTTTTTACACTGTTTCTTTTCTCCTAGCACTTCCTTGTAGCCCCCTGAATAATAATAACATAAATATAAATGTAAAATAAATGTCAGACTTTGCCTATTTCAAATTAGTTAATCATAATCATAATAATAATTATTTTTTTATTATTAATTAATTATAAATACATTTATTATTATTATTAACTCATTTGAAAGAGGCAAATTCTGACTTTACTTTATATTCTACATTTCTTCTTCTTATTATTATTATTATTATTATTAGACATTCCGAATATATGTCAGATATATAATGTCAGAAAAGTTTTTCCAGGTCTGAGTATTGTCTTCTAGTTTTATTTTCATAATAAACGATGTACATTTGCATAAAAATATGCCAATTTTAAATAAAGTCAAAGTAATAATTGTCAATAGTAATAATAATAATAATAATTATTATTATTATAAACATTTACAATATAAATAAATGTCATATTTACTTATCATGTATTATATTTTTTTTATAATCAAATGTTTGTTTTGACATTTTGACATTGCTTCCCGAGCTCTCCGTTGCTATGGTTGCGGTCCTGTATCTGTTGATCCGGTCAACTTCATTTACTCGTCAGCTGCAACCACGGCGCTGCTGTTTTGAGCCATGCTAAATTGATCTAAATGTTCGATATGTATGTATTAATACAAAATCATCAATTTTTATGTACTCTTAACAAAATAATCCAGTCGGAGCTGCTGATCATGTAATTTGAGTCAGGCATTATTCGGGGCGGGGCTCAGGGGTCCTGATGCTGCTGTGTTATATTAGCGTTAGCCTGTAGCGCGACGCGTGAGTCTCCTTCATCTGTCGCCGGTTTCTCCGTGTCCCGGTTCTGCTCACGGGTTCTGCTCACGCGTTCACCGGTTAGTGCCGTTCAGAGCTTCGAGTCTCTTCTGTCTCTGTGTTTGCTGATGTGAGGCTGGGCTTTAAAATGAACATTTAATTGGTCCAGGCCGCTTCGAACCGAACCAGCGCTCAACAGATAAATGTGGACATGTCTGCGACAGACTTTATTATTAGTGATTATTATTATTATTACTGCAGCAGATCATTATAATTATTATATTTTTATATTGTTATTAATAATTGTTATTATTATACACATTATAAATTATTATAAATTTAGAATGTATAGTAAGATGTCAGAAAAATATTATACAGAATACGTTTTTCCAGGTTTGAATATTGTCCTCTTGTGTTATTTCACTTAATAAATGACATACATCCACATACATCTTTAATTCTCATTTTAAATGCGTTAATATTAACAATACATTTAGAATATAAATTAAATGTTGGCCAATTTCAAATTAGTTAATAAGATAATAAATTAATAACTGATACTTTTCGAGCTGTAGTTTAGGCATGTTATTTAATTGTGTGTACTGTGTACATTTTCTTTGCAGTTGAAAAAGATAATATAATTAAATTAAGTAAAGTTGTAATAAAATATAATAATTAATGGAATATAATAAAAAGTTGATAACATTAAAATTCAATAAAATGATGGTTCATTCATCACCCTGGAAATGGAAGAAACCGTTGGATGCATTGCATTGTGGGCTGCAGTATTCAACGTAGTATGCAGTAGTTTGTTCAGGTGTTCGATGCATACTACGTTTCGCATGCAGGGTTTGTTCTGCACTGATCCTGGAGAAATGGAGTCTCCTGAGGCTGTAGTGTGTGTGTGTGTGTTTACTCTGACCGCATCTCATCTGCTGTGTAACGACACACACACTCTCACACACACACACACACACACAAGGTCAGAGGTTTGATCACATGACTAACAGTGAAGAAAACGCCTCTAAATATCACTTACCTTGAGCCTGCAGTTACGCTCTCAAACACAGACGATTACAGTCACTGCTCTTCATCATGTTTGCAGATATAATGGCTGTTCCTCCGGCGTACGCAGACCTGGGAAAGGCTGCAAAGGACGTCTTCAACAAGGGCTACGGTAACACGCTTCTCTCCCTCTCCTCTGCAGAAAACACTGATCTCAAACATGCATGTTGTATTATATGTTCACGCGTGTGTGTCTTTCTGAATGCTGAAGGTTTTGGGACGGTGAAGCTTGATGTTAAAACCAAGTCTGCTAACGGAGTGGTGCGTGCTTTCTTCTTAATTACTTTCTAATTCACATTTTCTGTGCGAAATCATCCATGCACATTATTTTAACAGGGTTTCTGTGGATCTTCCACAAGTTAAGATCTTAAACTGAACTAAACTTCCTGGTCTGTCACTTTTTCACTTTTTTTCACTTTTCACTAAATCAGAACAAAAAGTCTTAAATTCATAAAGTCATGGCATTAAATGTTGCATGAACTGCAAAAAATTAACATTTCCCCAGTTTTTTTGTCTTGTTTTCCAGTACAAATATCTAAACATTAAATCATCCTTTAATTGAGATGCTAAGTAAAGAAAGTCTTGTTTATGCAAGTTTATTAAAAAAAATTGTTACACATTTTTAATGGTTTTACTTTTCTTTTTTTTTCTTTTTATTAAAAGAAATTAAAAAATGTGTAAATTTCAAATAAAAAAAATATGATTTATATATATTTTTAATGGTTTTACATTAAAAAAAATTAGTAACTTGAAATAAATTAAACTGATAAATAATATAAACTCATACAATAAACTATTTTTTTACACATTTTTAATGGTTTTACTTTTTTTTTTTTGCTACAAATTAAAAACAAATATGGTTTTATAATTTTTTATGGTTTTACATAAAAAAAACGAGTAACTTGAAATAAAATAAACTTATAAATAATATAAACTTATACAATAAACTGAAATAAAATAGAAATAGAATTTATTTCAGCTAGTTACAAAGGCAACATTTCTCATTTTAATGTAGTTTAACTTGGAAAAAATAACTAAATTTTAAACTGAAATAAAAATTTATAAAAACTATCTAGGCATATTTAAAAAAAATTATAATAATAAAACTGTAATATAAAATAAAAACTAATTCAAAATATTAATAAAAACTATAATAGTATCTAAATTATACTAAAATAACACTGAATGGAAGTTGGAATTACATCTGAGAGTATATTAATGTATTGTGCTCTCTTTAATTTGTTCCTTAATTTAAAAAAAATATGTTATTCTTTTAAAGGTCTTTAAAACTTCTTAAAATGTACCTTCCTCAAACCTGCAGAAACCCTGTAGAAAGCAAACATCTGAATGCAGTGACTTGCTGAGATGTCATCTAGGCCACGCAGGCTGGTGTATAATACTGTATAATGAAGCCTCTTCTTGAACTTTCAGGAGTTTAAAACATGTGGCACGTCTAACATGGACTCAAACAAGGTCAACGGGAACCTGGAGACCAAGTATAAATGGGCCGAGTACGGACTGACCTTCACTGAGAAGTGGAGCACGGACAACACGCTGGGCACGGAGATCAGCGTGGAGGACCAGGTGCAGAAAAATATCTTCATTATCATTCCTACAGTCATGGAGATTTCCTGGCCTGGAAAATAAATCCTAAGAATTTAAGAATGTTTTACAGGATGTGTAAATATACATTCCCAGTCAAAGGTTTGGAATAATTAAGATTTGTTTTTTCTGCTCACCAACTCTGCATTTATTTGATCAAAAAATACAGTAAAAACTATAAAATTGTGAAATAATATTTCAATTTAAAATAGCTGTTTTCTATGTGAATATATATTAAAATGTAATTTATTTCTGTGATCAAAGCTGTATTTTCAGCATCATTACTCCAGTCTTCAGTGTCACATGATCTTCAGAAATCATTCTAATATTCTGATTTGCTGCTCGAGAAACATTTCTGATTATTATCAATATTTTAGCTCAAGTAGATGCAAAAATCACTTTTCAAAAGCATTAACAAATCATAATTATTGCAAACTTTTATGTGTTTTTTATAGTGACACTCAATGCTAAAACCGTATTTCTTCAGCTGGATATCACTCTTTGCAGATGTTTTATTTTACTTTTCACATTTTAACCCTTTCAAGATGATTAGCAAATTAAAATCAAGTGTCATTTAATGTGTTACCTTAGCAATCCATTATTTATTTATTATTTAAATATTATTGTTAAATATTAAAATATAATAATAATTATTATTATTATTGTTAT